ACACCTAAAAAAAACTTTCATTTTGATTTCACAAGAACTTCCACCAAATATTTCCATCGCACAGAGGGTTATAAGGTTTATTAGACTAATAAATGTATAAGAAAAACATTATTCTTTTAGGAACTGATGCCTAAAAGTTTCTTCGAATCATAAAGGGTTTGTCTCTGTGGCATCACTTTGAAAACACCATTCTCAAACCCTTTCTGTGTTTTATTTGTCAAGTAAATTAATATATTTATGAAGCTTGAAAATAATTAAGACTAGAAATATGTAAAGCAAATTAGAGTAAAAAGGTCAATTGGATTTCATGTTGACTTAATAGTGTCAACAGTGCTGGATAGTTTTATGTTAATTAGTAGGTAATGTAATGACTCTTACAACTTATGCTAATTTATTTAAATAACACTATCAGTGCACCATTTTCTTTTGGGCTTTGATGTATTTTCCTATTAAAAAAAGACGTTGAGGGTGAGCCATAATGAATGTAACTTGCCCTTATTTTTCATTTTGAGTGATTGCTTTATCCGGCTGGTCAGTGTGGAGTTTGTATGTTTCATATGTGTTTGTGTGGGTTTCCTCCAGGTGCTCCAGTTTCCCCTACAGTCCAAAGACGTGCGCTATAGGTAAATTGAATAAACTAAATTGGCCGTAGTGTATGTGTGTGAATGAGTGTATATGGATGTTTCCCAGTACTGGGTTGCGGCAGGAAGGATATCTGCTGTGTAAAACATATGCTGATGAATGTAGGGACTATCGATTGATTGATTGATTGATTGATTGATTGATTGATTGATTGATTGATTGATTGATTGATTGATTGATTGATTGATTGATTGATTGATTGATTGGCAAAACTATATTTTGCCAATGCTATTTCTAAACACTGGTCACAATTGGTGGTTAAGGGGCAGGAAATTGTGATTCTACAGAGCTTTTTATTTGGACAAAGTGTTAATTTATTTAAAGGTGTCATATATTGCATTGATTAAATCAGTTAAATTGTTCTATGAAATCTATAGACCATTTTGAGGGATGTAAACAATAACAATGGTCCTAACGCATTTCTTGTTTAACATTTTTAATTTCCTTAGCTTCAGAGAATCCAAAAAGCTCCTCATATTGATAAATAATCCTGTGGCAGCTGTTTTAATGTAAAGTTATGATCGAATTTTCTCTTGTTACAGTTATGAAATAGTTTGATGTCAACCAGGCTTTCTTTCACTTTTCTACATCTTAATATAACTTAAAACAGTCTTATCAGTGCAGAGCAAACCATTACAAACAAAAAGAGTAGGGGTGAAATCAACAAATGTACACAATTGAACATAACACACCGTATGTAAACTGTTCATGAATTAGAGCACTTTTAATTAATTATATTGAATCAAATTATGGCTCTTACACTTCATTTGTCAAAAAATTAAAAAACAGAGTAAATGCCTTGTTAAATCTTTTTAACCTAAGTGGTAGAGTGGAGAGGTTTATTTTAGCTAGGAGTGAGTGAGTAATGGTGTCACGATGGTGCAGTGGGTAGCACAATCACCTCACAGCAAGAAGGCTGCTAGTTCGAGCCTCAGCTTGGTCAGTTGGCATTTCTGTGTGGAGTTTGCATGATCTCCTCTAGTTCGTGTGGGTTTCTTCCGGGTGCTCCAGTTTCCCCCACAAGTTCAAAGACATGCAGTATAGGTGAATTGATTAGGCTAAATGGTCTGCAGTGTACAGGTATGTGCGTAAATGAGTATGTATAGGTGTTTCCCAGTGATGGGTTGCAGCTGGACGGGCATCTACTGCATAAAGCATATGCTGGATAAGTTGGCAGTTTATTCCGCTGTGGTGACCCCAGATCAATAAAGGGACTGAGCCAAAAAGAAAGTGACTGAATGAATGAATGAATGAATGAATGAATGAATGAATGAATGAATGAGTGAGCCCTCTTGTAAACCAGCAGAGTAATCTATTTTGCTCCTGAGTTGTGTTGAGGATGAAATATAGGCTAAATTATAATAATTTGACAAACGAGAACAAAATAAATGTATTTATTGTTAGATTTTAAAGCTATAATGTATATGAAAACACAGACTAGAATTAAAATCAATCTCTGCATAAAATAAATGTGTTTTTAAGTGTTAATGTTGTTCTTTCACTCCTAAAAATACAGTAAGAGCTGAGTGTCATGACATAATAATTAAATGTGCACAAAACTCAGCAGTCTACGTGTGTTTGTTGCCTTATTACAGATTTTCTTTATATGGCACCTTTATATTTGCATAAGTGACCTTAGACATGAACACAAACCCTTTATTTTACTTCTATGAACCCATTGATGCAAATCATGGGAAATTACAGAACCCTGCATCATCCTTTACACAAGCTTTTTTTCTGTTTTTTTTTTTACCTTTCACAGTCTGTATTGTTCTGGGCCTGATCTGTATCCCCAGCAGAGAGTATCAGGTGTGCCACTGACTCCTCCAGTATTTGCCCTCTCTCTTTTTTCAGACGGTTCCTTCCTCTGACGCCACTATCCTGGAGATCCTAACACTACAGGTCTGTGTTCGCTGCCGTGGTGAAGGTTTCTCAAATAAAGCTTTTAAATTCTCTGCCTTGCATGCTGGCAGCACTGCAATAGCAAAGCATCCAAAGATTAGCATTATATTGCCAGCTGTTGATTCTCAAGTCCTGACCTCGATAAACATGACGTTTGCGTTTGAGATGAAAATTGCTCATGCCAATATGTTCTGGCTGAAGTGCTAATGATACAGTGATTGTAAAGTGCCAGACTTCCAGATTCAAATCAACAGATGAATGGTTTTCAGGTTGAAATTAGCTTCATTCTCTCTCTTTAGGGTCGGATGATGCAATTTATGATCTATTTATGTGTTAGTTAAGGAAAGATTCATCCAGTGGCCAGAGATAAACTGTGAAACAGTTTTGTTTGCACTGTAAATAATCCTGGTTGCCTTAAATTTTTAAGTTGAATCAAATTGATTTTATGAGTCAATTGAACTTATATTATGTTATACCGACTTAAAACACCTTGCGTAACTTATAAAACTAGGTTAGAACACGATTAACTTAGAATAATACGTTTTTACCTAAAACATATGCTGTCATGACTAATTGATCATATAATTTTTTACAGTTAGAGAAACGTTACACAGTTTAAAACACATTACATGCAGTTATTTTCAAAGCCATGCCATGAAATGCATAAAAAGTCATGTTTAACTGGCTATATTTACCACATGTCCCCTGGACCCAGTGTGGATTCACAGTTTTTGTGCTAAATTACTAATTTTAAGTTTGAAAGAAGATTTTCAGTCATATGAACTGCCTAAGTGGTGACAAAATAATGACAAATACTTCAAATTAACTAATGCATTAACAGTCTTTGCACTGTACATCTTATTTTAACACAACTTGTGGCCATTTGCCAATTAAATTTGTGACTTTCATTGTCATTTTCTATCAGTTACTTTAGCTATACAAACATGTCTGTTATAATGCTTGATATTAATCATATTTGTTATTACTTACTCCCAGGGCCATTTATTGAAGTTGATATTTAGCCACACCATATTGGTGTTTTGTAACATCAAGTTTTTATAAGTTGGGTTGTTAGCCCAATGCTCAAACCCCAACCAGGAGGATCAGGACATACTCTACGGACAATTTCAAGAGTTTATACTTAGCTGATGATTGCTGATAAAGCTTGTTTGGCTCTCTGGGAGAGAGACCTGAGCTTATGAGTTTCTCGAGCCCTGGGCTCCCTCCCATTTGCAGGGCGAGAAGAGAGTTTGACCTCAGGTAGATCTCAATAAACTCCCCGACTTATTTCTGGCTATGACAGATATGATGGCTAAGAAGAGATGTACACTTGCTAAGAGCTTGGCTATGGTATCAATTTTGTATGTTCAATTTACTTAGGTTGCTTGTTTTTGGACTTTGGGAGGAAACCGGAGAACCTGGGGAAAACCCACACGAGCACGGAGAAAATGAGCAGGCTCCACACAGAAATGTCAACTGGTTTTGTAGGGACTTTAACCAGAGATATTCTTGCTGTTCGGCAACAGTGGTAATCACTGGGCCACTGTGTCGCCCATCTGGAAAGGAATAATTTCGTTTGGAAAAAAAAAACTTCGTCATAATTTTTGTGACAAACAAGTTTCTTTCGACAAAAACTAGACGAAAGTGATGATGATGACAACTACAGAAAATATATACTAACATTTTCCATGACTAAAAAAACGAGACGAGATGTCTTCACCTTAGGGGAACAAGGGGAGAACATGCAAACTTCACACAGAAATGCCAACTGACCCAACTTGGGCTCAAACCAGCAACTTTTTTGCTGTGAGGTGACAGTGTTACCCACTGTGCCACCGTGTCACCCCCATATTTGTTATTGCATGATTTTAATGTATTATTATTATCATTATCAAGCACAAATATTAATTTTGCTGTTTGCTTTTTTAATCCATTTTCTATCTAGGAAGATCTATATCTATTTTTAGGAAAATTAATCAGCCATCCAGATTCAATTAGAATCTCTTATTTCCAGATAACACAAAGGGTAAAAATTGGCCTTTGACCAATGTACAATTCACAACTTAGTATGATTCTGCTGGATCATGTCTTTTTAATGTTTGAGTTTAATCAAACATACAGCATCTTTACTGTAAACTGATCTAAATAATAGCCTACATTTACCCCAACAGTAATTGCTGTATTATAGGATACTAAATATTATTATAGGATACTAAATTCCAATAAGATGATTTGTATTTGCACCACCTTCATAAACGTGATTTTGCCGTGTCTCTGTAAGTTAATTACAGCAGCGTTATGTCCATGATGTTTGCTGCTGAGAATGTCTTGTCACATTTGTAGTGGAGTGTGCATCGTGATGTGTCAGTATGAGGACCGACTGCCTGTAGTGTTGGACGGGGGAGGCGCTTCTCTGCTCTTCAAGCGTATGTTTTCCCAATAGAAAATTTCCTGTTGTCAAACGCACCATAGATACGCGCGCGCGCTCACCTCCATCACGGGGAAGCGCGTGGAGTTGTCAGATTTTTACGGAATAATCCCGAATATCAGCTTGTTTGCGTTGAGACGGAGATAAATTGTGCCGTCAAGTTAGTATTATTTCAGAGGACAATATCTTGTGTGTGAGGTAAGTTAACTCTGTTCTTTGGGTAAGACGAACATCAGTAATTAAACAGTAGACGCTGATGTTGACGCAACAGTCTACTATAAATGGCAGCTTTTGTAATGTTTCGTGTCTTTACATTTCGGAAATGTAGCGCATTTACAAGTATATTTGTCCGACAGAATTGCTTACGTGTTGCGTATTCAGCTTCTAATCACAGACAATTAAAATAATAATATCTTCTGTAAAGTGAACACAAACAGTTCGCGTGCGTTGAGATGAGTAATTAACATTTTCCGCGATGTTTTTGCAATGCTGGCATTGATGCTTGAATGGTTTCCTGTCTCTTGAGTTTGAAATACGTACTTATTTTGTTGCAAATTGAGAAACAACAGGTTAGTCGTCGTGTAAGTTGTTCATATCTCATATTAATAACGGCTTTTTGGATTCATGTATGCACTTAATGCGGATACATGACCGGTGCCCAAAACAACGGAAGACGATCTACGTCCATTCACTGGAACCAACCTGTTTCTTTCAGCTCACCGTTGGCTTAAACAGTATTATCAGCGCGTAAATTCAGCCATGGTTCTTTAATGAATGCTTTCTAACAGGTTGTTCACTATAACAGTGCATATCAGAAACTTGCTTTAAATAAATAGAGTTGGTATATCTCAGTAGCCTACAGTTGTTAAGCCTAAGACTTACACAAACATTAAAACCTGGATAAAATCATCTGGGCATGTGTAGGCTTTATTTTTTTTCTTTTTGTTTTTCTGGATAATTACAATTTCTTCACTAATACATCTTTTTTTTTTTTTTTTTTTTTTTGTAAACTGTTTTTTTTTTTTTTTTTTGTAAACAGTTTTAAATATGTGTTTATACTTTGACATTTGCAATTTGTAACACCTTCAGGTGCGGACCTACCCTGCTGAAAAAAATAGCTTTAACCAGACTAGGCTGGTTGGCTGGTATTTAGCTGGTCAACCAGCCTGGTTTTAGAGGGGTTTTGGCCATTTCCAGCCTGATCTTGGCTGGTCAAGCTGGGAGATGACCAGCTAAAACCAGCTTGACCACCCTAGCCATGCTGGGAGCCCAACCAAAACTAGCTATGTCCAGCTTAAACCAGGCTGGATTTTGCTGGTCCTTTTCCAGCCTGACCAGCTAAGACATGGGTGAAAATGGGGGAAACCAGCTTGAAAATGGTCAAAAGCCCTCTAAAACCAGGCCGGTCGACCAGCTAAAACAAGCCAATTAGCTTAGGCTGGTTTAAGCCGTTTTTTTGTTTAGCAAGGTAATGATATTCGCCAAAAAATAAATTTCCAGTTAAATTTAGATGTTTTTCCTCCTTCAGTTTTTAAAACTGAAATCATGGTCTGAACAAAAAATGCCTGTCAATTGCTGTCTTCATTTTGAGAGTGAAAAAGCATATTCAGGCAAAATAAATAAATAAATAAATAATACCAGTGACTCCTGATGATACGCTGAGATTTTGAGTGAAATTATCAATATGTGCCAGAAGCATTATTTTCTATAGTATTACCTTTAATTTTGACACAGGTATCAAATAGTATTCTGATTTTAATTGGTGGTTAATTCTGCTGTGGCTACCCTTGGTAAAAGGAAAGGAAAATGAATGAGTGAGTGGTTTATTTTCATCTCAAAGTACTGGTAGTCACATTTTAAGAATCACCAAGGACCACATTTTTTTTACTGAGAAAAAATCACCTACACCTACTTTTGAAAAGAATGAACATATATTTTGGTAATTTTGTCATTCAGTGCATATGAAAAACGCTATACTTTGTGACCTCTTATAATGGTTGAAAGTAAAATAACTAGTAGAAAAGCACTGCCATTAACAGTGTGCAATTTTCTTTTATGCTTTCCTTTCAAAACGAATTGTTTAAGGAGAAAAAGCTGGTCACTAATGCTTCTGGTTGGAGCCACTTGTTGAATGAGCATGGATTATTTCATTATGCTATTGACAAGATTAAGCTGGTAGAGTAAACACACGGCTCAGGTTCGGTTTCCTGTTCTCCACATTTGGTGTGGAAGAAGGGCTGCCATTTTGGGGCTCGAGTTTCTCAGCAGGTGTCTCTCGTTCCCATTAATGCTTGCGGAGGTGGAATTAGACTCTGGGAAAATTTCCACGCACGGCATCCGAGACCTGCGGCACTGAATCTGTGATGCGCACTGGTGTTGACAGATCCACAGACACACACTGAGTGATGAGTGCCTGTGTATGTGTGTGTCTGAGCAGCCCATTACTGTCATGCCAGAATAAGTGTTCGCGCCACGCCACAGGTGGAGAAAATGAATTACTGTGATGGTAGCAAATTGCTCAGCTCCCAATGGAGAAGACATTCGTTTAAGGTCGAGTGGTTGCTTCTAATTTACTTGTAATGTAAAGGCTAATGTTTTTTTTTTTTTATAGACATGTTGCTAAAGTGTGTTTTGATAATAAAATAGAAAAGCACACTGTAATTCCGGCATTGTTATTTGCTTACCCTCTTGTTTTTCCAAACCTCTTTTCCATCATGAAAAGCAAAAGATTTTTTGTGTTACAAATTTGAAAATTGCAGTTATGGAAATGAGATTTGAGAACCACGACAGAGGGAATGGATTTTATATTGAGTCACACAGAATCTGCGCATTTAATTGATTCATTTACTAGTGTAAATGTGGTGGTTCATTCAGCTGTGGCTACCTCTGAAATAGAAGACAAGCCAAAGGAAAATAAATGAATGAAGGATGTTAAAGTATATTTATTCAGTTTCCATAATCGTTTCAGTATTATTATTGTATAAAGTGTCAATGTTTAGGTAATTTTTATGTACAATAAGATTTGTAAAGAAATATTTTAATTTTTTTTTAATGTTTACCAAACAAGTGGTTCCATATGGATTCTAATTGTAAATCTTATTTTTTGTAAGTTTTGTTTTACGCTCCCACATTAAATCATTCCACATAAAACCTCAGATTTTGTACTAAATTCTGCTTAGAAATAGCTAAACAATTCAGGAGATTCTGTCTGATGAATGTATGTGTCTTGTATGTCCTTTTTTGAAGCTTTACATATTTTAATTGCAAAGCTTACAGTATATTTTGGAAAAATCTGACATTGCAATATTTTGCTTTTCTGCAATAAATAGTAAGATGTAAATACAGTTTCATCAGATACCTTGAATATTTGAAACATGTTCATTAATTCATATTCATCGCAATATGGGATTGAATCATGCATGAAAATAAATAAATAAATTAGAAGCAATGTTGCTTTATGGTTTTTTTTCAAAATGTATTCAGGTACAGAAACTGAAAAAAATCAAATATTTAAAAGAGCACTGCATCGTCTTCATGGTATAAATAATCAAATTAAATTGATCATTTTTAAAGTTACAAATGGTACAATTTCTTGTGTCTGGATGCTTCAAACTTTCTTGAAATGTTCATACAGTCACAGGCCTTAAAAACACAGGCAGATAAATGCAGACCTCCACTTAAAAAAAAAAAGTAAAAAAAAAAAGCTTTAGCTCCTGATCAACTATAAACCCAACTCAACATTGCATATCTTGCGATGACTATTGCAAATGCACACATTGTTATATCTATGCTGAAACTATATTTTGTACAGCTCTAATATGCAGTGCCGATATACAGCCATATCGCACTGCAACTTGTGTGATATTGCTCATGTATATATATATATATATATATATATATATATGTAAATAGATATACAGTTAAAGTCAGAATTATCAAACCCCCCTTAGATTTTTTTTCTTTTTTACAGTATGTCTGATAATATTTTTTCTTCTGGAGAAAGTCTTATTTGTTTTATTTCGGCTAGAATGAAAGCAGGTTTTATATTTTTTCAAAACATTTTAAGGTCAAAATTATTAGCCCCTTTAAGCATTTGTTTCGATAGTCTACAGAACAAACCATCATCATGAAATAACTTGCCTAATTACCCTAACCTGCCTAGTTAACCTAATTAACCCAGTTAAGCCTTTAAATTGCCCTTTAAGTTGAATACTAGTGTCCTAAAAAATATCTAGTCAAATGTTATTTACTGTTATTTTGGCAACAATAAAATCAATCAGTTATTAGAAATGAGTTATTAAAACTATTATGTTTAGAAATGTGGTTGAAAAAAACATTATCTCCGTTAAACAGAAATTGGGGAAAAATAAACAGGGGGGCTAATAATTCAGGGGGCTCATAATTATGACTTCAACTGTATATAAAGCCAGGTTGAAAAAGACGAGTGAAGCGGACAGCTATTTTTAATAAACCAACTGTAATATTTTATATGAACATTTTTGTCTGATACTGCCCATAATACAGCCCTTGCATCTTGCCCAATTTTTGTATATTATACAAAAGAAAACACATCAGTCATTCCTTAGAAAAATAATCATGCATTTACTACAAAAACACAGAAACTGTAGTTTCTCTAAAACTATGGTGTCTGTAGTGTAACGGCGGTTATACAAATGGTAGTCAATGCTTCAAAAACTATAGTTACTCCTATTTTACTACAATAAAAGTATGCTCATTGACATGAGACTTTTTAGATGAAAACATATTTTAATATTCATCCAGTTTAGAAGCATTGCATACAGCAAAAAAATCCTCTGAATTCCTTTCTTTCCTCTCTCCTCTTCCCACTTCTCCACTCATTTACTTATATTAATAGCTGTGATAGTCAGCAGCGAGGCCTTTGACTTGATCAGCACTTTAGACTGCTGAAGTTCATCTTTGCTTTTTATATATCTAGCCTTTATTCCTCAACACCTACAGTAGTCACCGGGTCACGGCACCAGAAATTATGTTAACCCATTATTTACTAAAAACGTCCCCTTTGATTGAATTCTTGAGAAAAATTTACACAAATGACATTTATTTACAAGATACACAAGATTTAATGTAATGACGACATCTGAACCGACACACCATATTGATTTAAAATGCAAGGTTTTTGGGTCAACTGTTTCTAAGCCAGGTGAATTGCACACCAA